AGCCCACAACCTGGGCTTGAACCCGGGCCCCTTCAGTCTGCAGGCTGACACTCTATCCACTGAGCCAAATCAGCTAGGGCAACGTTACCTTCTTTACATGTCTTCATATGTGAAGTGAAAATGAGAATCCCAACCTTCCTGCTTCTCAACCTCAAGAAACAAGAAAAGATCGTGTTCGGCTGCCTCGCCACAGGTGGATGCAGCTGGGTTTTTCCTTGTCTGCATTATACATGGTCTCCCTTCTTGCCCTCGCTGGAAAGTATTTGCCTTCCTCTTATAGCAAAAATATGTGGAAAATGTGCCCTTATCTCCCCTTTATTTTCTCCATAAGATAAGGCACTACTATAGCCAGTATGGTTCGAGGAAGGATGTGAAAGTTGGATCATGTGAGCAAAGACTTCAGGCACCAAAGAACCTAAGAGGCCGGACTGGCAACAACCAAGCTCTGGAGATGCAGGCTCCTGCCCCACGCAGCGCCTACCCCAGCCCTGCCGCCCTTCCTGAGAGCGCTCAGATACAGAGGCCGAGGGTCTGCTAACGTCCTCCTGTGTGTCCAGCACCCATGGACCGCCTCCCTCCCATTCCTGTGGTTCCTTCCATTCTCCATCAGGGAAATCTCTCCTGTGGCCCATCCTGCCCTATGTCTTTCTGGTAAACCTGTTTTATTCAAAGACGATCATCAAGGCTGTTGAGACAGGTTCTCAGGGCAGCAAGAGCGAGAACACTTTTTTGTAGGAAATGTCTCTGCTTTAAGGTTTCCAGAGCAAGCCAAGGGCAGAGCCTGAGCCATGGTCTGCTTCTTACCCTGGTTCAGAGATGGGCAGGAGCTTGCCTGCTCCTCCCTCCACCCATCGGAGTTTCAGTTCTTTCCTGTCATCTCTGCTCATTGCCCCTGGGATTCTAAGGGGTGCCTGGCACACTTTTCCTTAAATTGAAAGGGCTTAAGGCTAAATCTGAGCTGTTCATGGAAAGAAACCTTAAATGTAAACACCTTTTGCAGACTTTGCAAACATCTGTGCCCACATTCTCTCCTTCTGGCTTTCAAATAATCACCTGTCAAGTGTCAGGCATTCTGCCAGGCATGGGGGGTGGAGAGGAGGCAAAGAGTGGGCCGACAGGCCAGACCCAGACCCCTGAATGGGCATGGCCACCTGTCAGGGGGCTTTCCCTGGTAGTTCTTGCTGGCTAAGCCAAGACCTCCTCATGGGTCCATTTCAGTTGGTGACAAGGATGAGGATGTGAGAGGCAGGCCTGGGGGACAACAGCTGGGACCGTTGGGCAGCAGAGCCATGTGGCCGTGTGGGCTCGGGGAGCTGCGTGCAGGTGACTAGCCTCTTCTCTCTGTGGGCCTCTCTCCTTTGCACACTCACGATGGGTGCGGGCTCCACGCTCTCCACCCCACACCTGGCCGAGCCTCTTTTCCCTCTCACATCTCCGTGTCCCTCTCCGCCTGTGCTCTCCTTCCCGCTGCACTGCCAGGACCCGGCCCTTCAGTATGGCCTCTTTTCCCAACATCTTCACCTCCTCCCGCTCTCAGTTCTTTTCTCTCTGGCACTAAATACTTTTAGACCTTCCCCACTCTTGAAAATGTCACTGGATACGGCCCTTTTTTTTAGATGCCTAGTTGGTTTTGAAAGAGTGCTCTGCCACTTTCCTCTGCCTGCCCATTGACCACTGTTATAGCAGTCCAGCATGCAGTAGGCACACAGTGATTGTCATTGGTCAGTGTAGACATTTGAAAGTCTATCAGAGCCAAGGTCAAAGACAAAGAGAGAATCTTAAGGGCAGCAAGAGAGAGACAGTTAGTTACCTACAAGGGAGCTCCCATAGGTTGTCAGCAGATTTCTTGACAGAAACATTTCAGGCCAAAGCGGATTGGCATGAAGTATTCAAAGTAATAAAAAGCGAGAGCCCTAACCGATTTGGCTCAGTGGATAGAGCGTCGGCCTGCGGACTGAAGGTCCCAGGTTTGATTCCGGTCAAGGGCATGTATCTTGGTTGCAGGCACATCCCCAGTGGGGGTTGTGCAGGAGGCAGCTGATCGATGTTTCTCGCTCATCGATGTTTCTAGCTCTCTATCCCTCTCCCTTCCTCTCTGTAAAATATCAATAAAATATATTTTAAAGAAAAAGAAAAAGAAAGGAAAGCAAGAACCTGCAACCAAGACTGTTCTATCCAGCAAGGCTATCATTTACAATTGAAGGCAAAATAAAGAGCTTCCCAGACAAAACAAGGCTAAAGAAGTTCAATACTACCAGACCAGCATTACAAGAAATGCTAAAGTGACCGCTTTAAGAAGAAGAAGAAATAGAGAGAGGAACATAGGCATAAAGAAATAAGTAGCAATAAGTAAGTACCTATCAATAATTACCTTAAATATTAATGGATTAAATGCTCCAATCAAAAGATATAGAGTAGCTGAATGGATGAGAAAACACGACAAATATATATGCTGCCTGTAAGAGACCCACCTCAGAACAGAAGATTCATATAGACTGAAAGTGAAGGGATAGAAAAAGTATTCTATGCAAATGGAAACAAAACAAAAAAGAAAAGCTGGGATTGCAATACTTATTTCTCACATAATGGGCTTCAAAACAAAGGCTATAACAAAGAGACAAATAAGGTCACTACATAATACTAAAGGGATTGATCCAATAAGAAACAATAACCCTGGTAAGCATATATGCACCCAATATAGGTGCACCTAAATATATTTTGTAAACTTCTAGAGGACTTTAATGGAGAGATTGACAATGGCAATACAGTCATAGTGGGTGACTTTAACACCTCTCTGACTTCACTGGATAGATATTCCAGACACAAACAAACAACAAACAAACAAAACAGCAATGAAACAGCAATCCTAAATGACTTACTACATCATGATTGTCTTAATTACATTTTCAGAGCATTTCACCTGAAAGCCACGGAATACACATTCTTCTCAAGTGCACATGGAACATTCTCAAAGCTAGACCACATATTGGTATACAGAAGGCTTTTCAAATTCAAGAAGATTGAAATCATATCAAGCAGCTTCTTAGATTACAAGGGTATGAAACTATAAATCAACCACAATAAAACTTAAAACATTCAAACACATGGAGGCTAAATAGCATGTTATTAAATAATGAATGCTTTAAGAATGAGATCAAGGAAGAAATCAGAAATTACCTGGAAACAAATGAAAATGAACACAAAACAACCAAAATCTGTGGAACACAGTGAAAGTAGTCTCGAGAGGGAAGTTCATAGCATTACAACCTTACCCCAAGAAACAAGAAAAATCTCAGATAAGC